TATGGGGACCTCCATTTTGTCCCCATAAGGGAGGCGAGTCCCCACATGTGACTGTGTAAACAGATTTAGTACCCCACAAGTATAGTAATGTTAGGCCACGCACACACACACACACAAACAATTTGATACATTTCCCGCTCTTATGTGCCCCTCCCCCCACATGGATCACACCTGGCACACGCAATACATGTTCAGTGTCTGTTCTTTGTATATTTACTGCAGTTTTTCATGTATACCAGTAGTCTGATACAATATTTACAGTTTGAAAAAGGGTGTTAAATGAAATTTGGTGATGATTAATGGTTTTTGTCTTAATGTAATAGCAGTTAAAACAGGACCGGTCAAATTTGACCTCGGGGGGGGGAGGGGGAACGAAGACAATAGGAGGGTTAAAAAGAAAACATAATCATAATATACAAATCAATTTTAGAAGCAAAAGCCAGATAGAGTCTTATAATTGTTATGATGATGACTAAATTGCTCTCTTTGGGGAAAGTGTATTTTTCACTCACCACCTTGAAGGATCAGCTGTGAAGCCCCACTTTTAGACCAGGTGGTCATTGGATGTCATGCTAATAAAAAAGACTCACATTTGGGAGAGTTTTCTGAAAAGTGTCTCCTGTTTCCCTAGATGCTCTCTGGAAGGAAGGTGTTAAACAGATTGTCTGATGCTGGTGAGCATTAACCCCTTGTCATCCCTGCCCTAAAGTACCTGCAGGTGGCGTTGCAGCACTGGGCTCAATGCGGACTTCCACATCACCCTCACTTGGGCAGCACCACTTCACCTGTATGTTTTGCTCACTAGGAATCTGGACTCACACACTGGATAAGCAGTATACATAGAGGAGCAGATTTGAAAAGCCAGAGGGAATTTCTTTGCCTTTTTAAACTTAACTCTACTTTGATAATTTCAACTTCAATTTGCATGATTATGTTGACAAGGCGTCGTTCATTCGTTGTTATTGTGACTACAAAACTCTATCCGCTCCGTGATACAGTATTTGTTTTCTCCGTGGTTGTTGTTTATCCGTTTGTGTTTGAGCTCCGGTGCCCTTTTCATGGACAGATGTTCAAAGCTGCTGCTGCCGCATCATGAGGACCTGCCTCTGACTCACCGTCACATGCTGCCGGGTGCAAGACATCCACAGATTCACTGTTTTGTTTTTGTCTGACGCGAAAAAAAAGGACACGCTGCTGGTGATGGGTACTCTGTGGGACTGCAAACAGGATTCTCATGTTTCATTTTTCCTAATGCGCTCAGCTGCTGTGGTCACTGAAGGAAAGGACACAGGAGATAACTTGTTGTTCTTTTTTAGATAATAGATGTTAGGGCTGAAGTTTTACGACTGCAGCTGTTTAGAATACACCTCCGCATGAATTGTGGTTGGTGATGTGTAGTTTACACACTTTTACAATTAGTTTTGCACCTGCCTCTCTGCTCCAGACATTGTAGTTGTGGATCATTCATATCATAGCCTCATGTTTGTTGCAGACTCTGGACAGGACCATCTGCTCCCTGGATGATCTCTGAAGTTCTTTGTCCGCTAAGTATTGTGAGCCAAACCTCTTTTCAACGTGCGCAAGGATCTTGATTTGTACGCATGGCTGCCAACCTTTGACATTAACTTCCGCAGCTCAAATGTTGATGATGGGATTAAAGGGCAGCACCAAGGGTTGTGAGGAGTCCCAGACCCGTGGTGCCTGCAGCAGTCAGGGCCAGACAGGGCCCCGTAAATAACCGCGCTGACAGCATGCCCTCTTGGCCGAATCTCTCGGAGTTCCTCTCCCATAACTGCTGCTGGGAGGAGACCATCAACGCAACAGGAACCGCTGAGCAGCCTCCTCTCAATTATTACTCTATTCCCTTGCTCACGGGCATCACCATCGCCTGCACGCTCCTGTTTCTGGTCGGGGTGACAGGGAATGTCATGACAATGTTGGTGGTCAGTAAGTACCGGGATATGCGCACCACCACCAACCTGTACCTGTGTAGCATGGCCTTGTCAGACCTTCTCATCTTCCTCTGCATGCCACTGGACCTCTACCGTATGTGGAGGTACAGGCCCTGGCGTTTTGGGGCCGCACTCTGCAAGCTCTTTCAGTTTGTCTCGGAGTCATGCACTTACTCCACCATCCTGAGCATCACTGCTCTGTCAGTGGAGCGCTACCTGGCGATCTGCTTCCCACTGCGCGCAAAGGCACTTGTTACCAAGAGGCGGGTTCGTGCCCTAATTTTTATTCTCTGGACAGTGTCTGTAATGAGCGCAGGGCCCGTATTTGTCATGGTGGGAGTGGAGCGTGACAGCATGTCGCCACATTTTAGCCCTGAAATGAATGAGACTGGCTACTTCCTGGAGCCCGGGGACACACGGGAGTGTAAGATCACGCACTTCGCAGTGGAGTCAGGCCTGATGGGGGCCATGGTGTGGCTGAGCTCTGTTTTCTTCTTCATGCCGGTCTTCTGTCTCACAGTGCTCTACAGCCTCATTGGTCGTCGGCTGTGGCAGAGACATAGAGAGACAACCATCAGCTCCCGTGTGGCTGTAAGAGACAAAAGCAACAGGCAGACCATCAAGATGCTGGGTAAGTTCGGAGAGCGCGCAAATTACGCACAGGTGTAGCTTGGTATACAAGATGAAAAAAATAGATTTTAGCTTGGTTGCAACTGTTGATAAAGTCATAATTTTGTATTAATTATCTCTCTCTCTCGTTACTTCTCATCCTCCCCCTCCCGCAGTTGTGGTGGTGCTTGCCTTTGTCCTCTGCTGGTTGCCGTTCCATGTGGGCCGGTACCTGCAGTTTCGCTCCCTTGACGCACCGTCCCCGCTGCTGTCTGTGGTGTCCGAGTACTGCAGCCTGGTGTCCGTGGTTCTCTTCTACCTGAGCGCCGCCATCAACCCCATCCTCTACAACACCATGTCCTGGAAGTACCGGTGCGCAGCGGCACGTCTCTTCGGCCTGACAGACAGCCAGCCGCCCCGAAGCCGAACAGCCAGCACCCTGAAGGGAGACGGCTTGAACGGCTGGACGGAATCCACTGTCAGCTTCTAAACGCCTTGATATAATTAGAAACACTCTCAGTCATGCGTTAAAAACATTGACTTAAAGCCATTATTCCTGTCAACAACAAAAAAACTGCTCTGTACATGAGCGAGGCAATTGTTTGACTGGGACATAAAGAAACAGAGGATGAGAAAAGTTGCATGCCTCTATCCACTTTGTAAACCTGCATTAATATAATTTCAATTTCTGTTTGTTGGATCGTTTCAGCAAGTGCCCTGAAGTATTCATCAACACACTCAGCAGCATTTCATAAGCTCGACTGGTGGAGTGCAAAATACACACCAGCCAAAAGTGCTTTTATTGATCCAAATGTGAACATAGGTGCGTTCTTGCCCGTCTACACTCATATAAATAAATATAATAGACGTCTACAATTGCCTTATTGTATTCATACTCTGGATGACAAGGAAAGCACTGTAGAACTTGTGGCACTGCTCTGCACTCCTTCAGAAGGGCAGAAGTGCACTGTGTGTGTGTGTGTGTGTGTGTGTGTGTGTGTGTGTGTGTGTGTGTGTGTGTGTGTGTGTGTGTGTGTGTGTGTGTGTGTGTGTGTGTGTGTGTGTGTGTGTGTGTGTGTGTGTGAGCTTGCAGGAGCATAAGAGAGACAGAGAGAAGTATTTCAAAGTGTGTATTGTATGCCAGGTGTCATGTTTTGAAAGGATTTTTTCTGTGATGTCAGTGTGTGAATATGTAAAAATACTGTTATTGATGTTTTGACACACTGAATGCCCTGTATCTTGGAAATTCAAGTCCATGCTTTGTTGATGCTGCCAAAGAGGGCCAATCGAGAGTGGAGTTTGGTTCATGGGAGCCACACTGCAGGTCGATTTTAGGGTTGTTAGATAATATACACAATGCAAACATTTTCAAGACATTGTTACGTCACAACATTTTATACTCATTCAAGCTGCAGGCTCTGGCTTATTTTTAGAAATCATCAGAAAAAAGGACAATTTACATCAGGGTTTAAGCAGTGATCATGAAGTAAAACATTTTTTAACAAGTATAAGAACCCGTCCACACAGAGACGATATCAGTTGAATCCGCTAATGTTCTCTATCGACAGACGGTTCGTCGGAACGAGGCCGAAACGGAAACGCGGATTCGGAGCCCGAATCCGATACACTTTGATAACGGCTCCCAAAGTGGGTAGGTCTGAGGACGAAACGCTTGCGGCTCTGTGTGTACGCCCCATACGATCATTCCCTGAAACGATGACGCAATAGCCCCGCCTCTCCTGCGTCATTGCTGATGCGTTTCGCCAACAACAACAATGGCGATCACAGGGTTGCGTTCGTGCTCCAGACGCTACTGACCATGATACAGATGTTAGTGCAAAATCTACAGCTCCTCTACTACAACCATCAGCAACAAGTGGACATGTATGTGTTTGTTTATGCCTTATGCCCATGCTCGGGGGTTCTTATTCGCTGGTTTTGGTGTATTTTTTTTGGTGTACTTGAGCCGATTCCGTGTGGACGGAAGACTTTTTTGAAAACGACTTTGGTTCGTTTCCGTCTCCGTTTCGTCTCCGTGTGGACGGGGCCTAAGTTTGGTTCCTAAGACAAAAGGAAAGTGATTGGTGATTATTGTTATCTGCTCAGCTTTCTAAGACTTGTGACCATTGACCCGCTTTTCAATTCACCACCAGGTGTGCTGATATCAGTAACCTGCGTACAATTTACATGACTTTTTCTGCTCTGCGAGGACAATGTGCTAATCTGTGCATCCAATCATAAAACACACAAAGCAAATTGTTCATTCAGTCACTTGTTTAGAAATGGGTTTTTGTATTTGATGTTTGCAATGTTCATCTTTGGTAAATGATCGAAATCATCTCAAGTTAACTTGATTTTTTTACCATCAATGCCTACATTTACATTTGGCATGAATTGTTCCCCAAAACTGTTCAGTGTACACATGCAGTTACATCTTTAATGTTTAAATATTGTCTTGTCTTGTTTATAGATTTACCAAATGTTTCAGATGAAGAATTGCATGGGTGCTCAGTTGAACGTTTTAATGGGTGACTTGCATGATGGTGTGCAAACTGTAATAGAAAGATGCTAATGAGCCAAACATATACCATCTACAAGGAGGTTTTGAAAATTGATTTTTGTTAAAAAAATGTATTTCCATGTATTCAACTGACGGAAATGTGAGTGATATCATTTTGTAAAGTAAATAAGTGATGATGTGCTTGTAAATAGATGCTCTGTGAGGTTATACACTCGATGCTCAGATGGTTTCAGCAGATCACCGCAGCAGCCTCCACCAATCTGCACTGGGTTTCAAAACATGGCCTCCTTTCTCTCAAGAATGTATCTGTTCATAAATGAGTGTACATATGTCATGACATACTATTTATTAATCTTAATGTTTCATTAAAAGAGTAAAAATCCACTTGTATCTTACTTTTTTTGTATTCATCTGGGAATATTTCCTGCCTGTATCTGTCAACGATAAGGTCTTCTAAAAGTAAAAACACAATTACTCTGATTTTCTTTTTAAGTTGTGTTCTTCATGCTAGCATACTAGAACAGGGGTCTGCAACCTTTTTGACCAAAAGAGCCATTTTGCCCCCTTGTCCACCAATTTTCTTTGTCTTGAGCCGGAAAACATATTTGATAGCTTGATAGCCTGTAACGTTGTATATATTTTTATATTATAGACAAAAACTACAGTTTGTTTGCATGTATTATTTATTACATTATAGAAAACTGTTTACCTCTAATAATAAACAAAGAACTCGTATAAGGAGAAGCAACATTACGACCTCAAAGGTCACCCCTCCTAGTGAAATCGCGAGAGTGAGTGAGCTAAAGTCATGCTCGGCTTCGAACATGAGCTGCCATCTACCATTACAGAAAGTGAGAGAGAGTGTGATAAGGAAAATTCGCATTTATGTATATGTCTTCGTGATATGTAGATAGTGGCGTACAATTTTATACAGTACGGACACCGCTAATGTAGTGGCCCACCAAGCAACATTCTCCTTTCACACATATAACGCCGAAACAACACAACACAACTTCCAAGAACCGATTAGACGATTGAAACACCAGTAACTGGTCGACGACATATGGAAACACCAGGCGACTCTGCATAGACGGCAGATCCAGTGTGTGAGAATACAGTTCGTGGGATTCGTCCGGTCGCAACCGTAAGTGCTACAGGTATGTACCAGCAAAAACAATGGTGAACATATTTCTCGATTTTCTAATTTCCTCTTGAAATCAGGTATTAATAACCAGGACGCTATTCAAATCTATCACATAAAGTAACATTTACATGGTTCGAAGTAAAATTTCTACGCGAGCTAAGTCTGCTCACTCTCCGTCCTCTCGACACACAAATCGCAACAGAAAGTGAGAAGTGGAGTGTAAAGGAAAATTCCCATGTTGTGGTTACTAGAGCTTAACTGCAAGTGTTTTAGTCCGAAAGTTTTTTCTTTTCTTTCCTCTCTTTCTTTTCTCTCTCCCTGATTTCCTTCTGTCATACAGTGGGGTGATAAAGTCTCTTTTCCACTTCCACCAGGTACCACACTTTGATCAGACAATCGATGTCGCATCAGGTAACTTTATCTATAAAAATACAAAAAAAAAAATGCTTCACTGTAATGTCATTACAATTTATAGAATATATATGCTTTTAGTCTCCAAAAATAAAGTTAAACTTTCCCACTTCGTCCGTACTCTTACAAACTTAATGTACGGTTGAATTGTATAGACTTCCCTCTTGGCCTTATTTATTATATGCATATATAGTTTTGTTTTTTCGATTTGTAGAGTAAAGTTAATATGTAACAGATTGTGTTATAATTAAAGGCTTGTGTATAAATGGTTATATAAATAGACTACGCTAGTAAGCCACTTCTTACAAGGTAAGTTTTAACATAATCAATTTTTCGTAAATGTGGGTCTTATTTTCTTACTGATACTCTATATAACAGAGTCCTTACAATCAGAATATACAATACCCTGAAGATTGGATCTTCCCGGTCCTGCGATATTTCGAACATGTAGCATGATGGTTATCGTACACACTATTCCGACTTGTTTTATATCCCTGAGGATATATACCCGATTACCTCGTTTTGAGCAAGAGAAGACTCCCAAGAGGAATTTTTTGTTTTGTAAATGACCTGAAAAACCTATCGAATCTTCATTACACATTCTAATGTTGGCCCCGGAATGTCCCAGATCCCGATATCAAATAACAGATAAATGAAATTAGTACCAACTTAGATTGGTTATTAACTTAACATTTTTGAGACATAAATTACTACACACACACGGGACATAAGGACTACTAGTGTGGACTCTCTTACTCCGAGTATCCCGAACGACTAGTGAGTTTCGATTGCAGACATTAACGTGGTGCAAACATTATTACATTCGGAGCGCAACTATGAAACGACACGCCGCTTTATGCTTTTTTTATGCCAATCTAGTTATGACCCTTATACTAACTAGATACAGGTGTCGAATTAGTTTATGACATTCCACACACATCACGGAATTTATTAGGGGAACACAAATTAAAAATCACAAGTACTATATCACTAACGTTATGGTTGGGTTTGTACTAGTACCAAGTAGGACCGGTGGGGTGACTTTATCAGGACCGACGCGTATGGACGCACGCGGTAATATTCCGACTTGGACCTCTTGGTCGAAAAACAGTGGTTGACTTCCCTCCACTCGTCGTAACACCACTACTCGTACAGCACCTCGCCCAGTTCTCAATACTGTAGTTACCCTTCACTTATCTGGACCGCGCTTTGTATTTGTGAGTTGTCTACAATTGCTATATTATCTGGTGAAACTGTTCATTTGTGTGTACGTCTGTTCTCGCTCCAATTTTGGTGCAAGTATGTATGTATATATTAACAATTTAATATCTAGTCAAAGTTGGTTATACGGTTCTATGTGAACCCATGTGGGGTGATCGAGTATCACTCTAGGTAGTCTCTTCTGTTCTGTTATGTGTGAAATAATCATAGGGAATAAGTTTCTCTATCACAACTTCGGCACTACGTCCATGTAGTCTCATGCCATATCAACCCAAATTTTCTTCCGCTCCTCTCTTTACAGATTTAAAACGAAGTCCATGATCGCGTGTATAAACAATACTATAATGTATGATGATATTTCTTATAAGTGCCAGAGGTTAAGTTAACTATACAATGTATCATGTGAGCGCGATGATTCTACGGTCCCTTCCGCTCACGCGGTGTTGGAGCGATATATGAGCGAGGATCGTGGTCCACTCCACGAGTCACCTGGTCACCTCTCTTCGTCCCATCACCCTTGTATGTCACTGTCACCGCAGCCGTAAGAGCAACTCCTTTCATAATTCTCAATACTCCTCCTACTTCACGGTGCTGTCTTTTCAACCTATCT